CAGCGCCAGCAGCACCTCCACCTCCAACAGCACCAACTCCAGTACCCTCAAAAGCACCAGCGCCAGCAGCACCGCCAGCGCCAACACCCCCAGCAGCTCCAGCTCCAGCAACACCAACTCAAGTAGGACCGTCAGCACCAGCAGTCTAAGCAGCACCCCCAGACGCACCAGCGCTAGTAGAAACACTAGTGCCAACACCCCCAGCAGCTCCAGCTCCAGCACCACCAACACCGCCAGCAGCTCCAGCAGGACCAACTCCAATTGCCCCAGGAGCACCCCCAGTCTCAGCAGCACGTCTCCAGCGGCGGGCAAACAACTCGCGCAGCTCCTGTGGAGAGAGCGGCTCCCTCCTCGACGAAGCACCGCCGGCGGCCACACGAGCAGACCCAGCGCCCCCAGGCTCCGCACCCCCAGGCTCAGCACTCCCAGACCCAGCACCCCTAGGCTCAGCACCCCCAGTCTCACACCCCCAGACTCAGCACCCCCAGACCCGGCACCTGCAGGCTCAGCACCTCTAGCAGCACCAGAGTTAACAGCTGCCTCGACAGGCTCGACTGCGTCTACCTGGGACACACCTGACAGGGCGGGACCCTGAGGGGGGAGGGGGTCTACCCGGGGAGGACTTGGTGCAAGGAAGAGCGGCGGCGGGGGGAGAGGCGCAGTGTGGTAGGGGAAGAGACGGTAGTAAGGCACCGACTTGTCAAAGGTGACGTCCTGGGAGGACAGAACACGGCGCGAGGTGGGGTGGTAAAACTGCCAGCCAGGCGCGTCAGGGGGGAAGCCAAGGAAGACGCAGGGAACAGCACGGGGGGACAGCTTGTCCGCAGACAAGTCGCGGACAAACGCCCGAGATCCCCAGACCCGAAACGCAGACGCATCGCCAACCTTCCCTGTCCACCGCAAGGCGGGGGAGGTCTCTGGCAAGGAGACCCGGGGCTGAAGGCTGATGCGCGGCGTAGTGAACCGCAAACGGCCACAGAAAATGGGGGGCAGCCGCATGCATCATGGACGTACGAGCAACGTCCATGACCATGCCAATGCGGCGCTCAGCAATCCCATTTTGCTGTGGAGAGGCCGGAAGCGTGAAGGTCTGGCGGATGCCCTGTGCACGACAGAAGGCTCCCAGACGGGTAGAGGAAAACTCCCCGCCTCTGTCCGAGTGCAGACGCAGAACAGGAAAGTCCGAGCCGAAACTCTCTCTGAGCTGGTGACAAGCTGCGCGGATCCAGTCGATCAACACCTCAGTAACGTCACCCTTGCTGCGCAAGGGGAACATCGTGGTGTAACGCGAGTAGTCGTCAACCACCAACAGGAAGTAACGCTCGTGAACCTGGCCACGGATGCGAGCGGGGCCCCACACGTCCATGTGAAGAGTGGGCAGGGGAGCCTCTGTCGGAGGAAACTCAGAGGAGTGAGGGGCGGCGCACTGCCGCCCCTCAACGCAGGGAACGCAGGTAGGGGCAGGCCGCGGAGGGAGTGGAGGGAGGGACCGGGGGAGACGAGAGACAAGGACACGGGAGGCCATGACTCGGAGACGAGGCAGGGAGGGGTGACCAAGGCGGTGGTGCCAAGGGAGAGTCTGGTGGGACAGCAGACGACACGAGCAGGGAGCAGACTCAGGACCGGACCTGGACGCTGCAGCAAACACCTGACTCGACGCAGCTACCTGGGTAGACTCAGCAGCCGGATGAGACTCAGTAGTAAGGGTGTACAGGCTCGACCCTGGCTGACGGGTGAACGTGGCCAAGTGTCGGCCTGTCCGAGCACACGTGCAGTGGGTCACTCGCTGACTCGCAGGAGTGAACTGGTCAGCCCCCCTATCCTGTAGGTCCGCTCCACTCACCAAGTTCGTAGAGAACAAGGGGAGGTAGAGACCAGACAGGGTGCCAGAGGGGGCTGCCGGGCACGGTAAGACAGTGGAGAAGCTAGCAAGGACAGGACCCCTAGAGGGGTCTGCCAAGGAGACTGCAACCGGCCGACTGAGCGGCGTAAGAGTGGTGCGGTCTCGAAAGAAGGAGCGGGACGCACCCGAGTCAAGGGTGAAGGTGTGGAAGGCCTGAGCCGACGTAGTACCTGAGAGAGCAGACTCACCAGCACCTGGGGCAGCAGACGCACTGGCACCTGGGGCAGCAGACGCACTAGCACCTAGAGCAGCAGCCTCACCAGCACCTAGAGCAGCAGCCTCAATGCCCGGGTCAGGCGGAACACACAGGCAACAGTCACCCTCATCACTAGTAGGCAATGCATACATGGCAATGAGGATAGCATCATAGTCAAGAGAATAGATATCGACCCGCAGCCGAAGCAGCTCCACCCGGTCGGGGAGCTCAGCTGCGTTGCCAAACTTCGTACGCCAGGCGTCGCTCAGACGGGCAAAGCAGTGTGACGGTGCGTGACCGAACGTCCGGCAAGGCTGACCAGTCCGAGCACCAGTGCGAAAGACGTACGGACAGCGAGAAGTACCCCGTGACCCGTCACGCTGCGCGTACCACTCACGAAGCTGCTAGGGCGAGAGGACCACTCGCGGACGACGATGAGGCTGCATCTGGTCACTACAAGTAGTTGCTGAACCACTCACTCCAGGACGACTCCCACTACGGCCAACCCGACAACCCCAACTAGCGTACCACTCAGGAAGCTGTTGGGGGGTGAGGGACTCACACGGGCGACGCTGGAGCTGCATCTCGCCAAGCCAGGAGCAGTAGTAGCAAGAGCAGCAGTAACAGCAGTACGGGCAGGGCAGTGCTCACCAGTGGCGAGAGGGGCAGGCATACGACGACGGCAATGGCGACGTCACGACCACTGTAGAGCGAGAGCTCTGCGGCTGCTGCAGTGGCGGCTGCTCCAAGGGCGGCTGCTGCAGTGGCGGCTGCTCCAGGGGCGGCTGCTGCAGTGGCGGCTGCTCTAGGGGCGGCAGGCAAGTGGGACGGTCCCGGGAAGGCCGAAAGGCGGTAGCGCCTCGGCTGCGGTGCGGCTCGGTGGCTCGGCGGCTGGGTTGTTGGGCGGCGCGGCGGTCGGGCGGCTCGGCTGCTCGGCGGCTCGGCTACTGGGCGGCTCGGCTGCAGGGCGGCTCGGCGGTCGGGCGGCTCGGCTGTTCGGCGGTGCGGCTTCTCGGCGGCTCGGCTGCTCGGCGGCTCGGCTGCTCGGCGGCTCGGGCGCTGGGCGGCTGAACGGCGATGGGGCCGTGGAAGGGTGGTGACGGGGCGCTGAAAGGGCGGCTACGGGCCACTGAAAGGGTGGCGACGGGCCGCTGAAAGGGCGGCGACTGGGCCGCGGAAGGGGGGGGGGGGGGGGGGGGGGGGGGGGGCGATGGGGCCGCCGCAGGGCGGCGACGGGGCCGCGGAAGGGCGGCGACGGGGCCGCTGAAAGGGCGAGCGGCGACGGGGCCGCTGAAAGGGCGGCGACGGGGCCGCTGAAAAGGCGGCGACGGGGCCGCTGAAGGGCGGCGACAGGGCCGCTGGAGGGCGCCGACGGGGCCGCGGAAGGGCGGCGACGGGACCGCTGTAAGGGCGGGCTGCGAGGCCGTGGAAGGGCGGCGACGGGGCCGCTGAAAGGGCGGCGACAGTGCCGCAGTAAGGGGGCGGCGACGGGGCCGCTTAAAGGGCGGCGCGACGGGGCCGCAAGGGCGGCGCGACGGGGCCAAAAGGGCGGCGCGACGGGGCCGCAAGGGCGGCGCGACGGGGCCAAAAGGGCGGCGCAACTGGGCCGAAAGGGCGGCGTGACGGGGCCGCTTAAAGGGCGGCGCGAAGGGGCCACTTAAAGGGCGGCGCGACGGGGCCGCAAGGGCGGCGCGACGGGGCCGAAAGGGCGGTGCGACGGGGCCGTGAGGGGCCGTACAAGGGGCCGCTAGAGGCCGCTAGAGGAAGAGCGACATTGGGCGCGACTCGGGCAGGGGCCAAGCGTGCTCCGGGCAGGAAAAAAAAGTCGGTGGGCCCTAGGAACAGTTCCCACGAGGGAAACAGCTCTGATACCATGTGAAGATGAGAACGAGAGAATGATTGAACTATGAAAGTGTTGGGTACAAGTACTAACCCTAATTGGGTTGTACCCCTTATGGGCTACCCCACTACAGCCTACACAAATGTATAAGCTATAATGTTCTGACACTTGTGGTCTTGAACTTGTGCTCGGAATGTGTGATGTTGTGATCCACCCTGAGCTTTCTTTGATTTGCTTGACTGGTCTTGTGACCTCTTGTTCTCCCCCACTTTGCCTATGGGGGTGTGTCAAACTCATATGCTTTAGTCAGTGTAGGCTGTAGTGGGGTACACAATATGGGGTACAACACTTTTAGGTTTTCCTACTTGTGCCCACCTGCTTGCCAGTTCATTCATTCCTCATTCTTTCACGGGCAGACACAGCCGTCATCGCAGTCGCCTAACTTTTCTGTGCACACGAAGCAAGCTAAAATTGCCCTAGTAGGTGTACTTGAGCATGGGCCAGGCCACTCGAATATGCAACAACATTCATGTCGTTCCATGCTTTTCCCTACGCCTATAGGGATCCATGCTTTGTTACCATTTGTCGGTAGACACTGCCGTCGTCGCAGGTGCCGACCTTTTTTGTGCGCACGAACCAAGCTGAAATTGTTCTGGTAGGTGTATTTGAGTATGGGCCATCCGAATCTGCAACAACATTCAGGTCGTTCAATGCTTTTCCCTACGCCTGTAGGTATCCATGCGCTTCGTTACCATTTGTCGACAGACACAGCCGTCGTCCCAGGCGCCGAGCTTTTTTGTGCGCACAAACCAAGCTGGAATTGCTCTGTTATGTGTATTTGAGGATGGGCCATCCGAATATGCAACATTCATGTCGTTCGATGCTTTTGCCTACTCTGCTATATCTTTTGGTTGGCTCCACTTTTTAAGGAGTACGGTAGTTGTGATCACTTCCGTATTGCTGTCTTCACACCCACAACTCACAACTCGAAAGACTGAGGACGCGCTAGTTCACAATTGATCGCGTTTGGAGTTATTTCAAGAGCATTTTATAAGGTGCATATGGACCGAAGGGCCCATTACAAGCGCACCTCGGTACCCTCACCTTTCAGCTGGCCTCTTCACCTCCCGCACATTGCTTCGCCCAAGCCTCCTTCCAACGGCCATGAACCATCGAAGAGCCCATGTATGCCAAGCACCCGCGCTCTCCGCGACCTCTCCGCGTGCACCCCTCGTACTGCTCCTCGCCTATACCGTCGCTTTCGCGCTGCTCGCGCTCTGGGCTCTCTCCGCCTCCCCCTCTGCCCTCTGCGCCCCGCTCCTCTCGCCTCTCTTCCCGCCGCCCCAGTCCGCAGCTGGCGGTCGCAACGGCTCGGCAGATGGCGCACACGGCGCGCAAGGGGCGCGGGGGCTGCGGATGGCGCACGGGGCGCACGAGACTCAATGGGTAGACACGGAGGCGGGAGTGGAAGGGGTTCATCTCTACGAAGCAGATCGGTCGGGGGGAGTTGAAAGGGATGGGGATGACGCTAGCAAGGCCGCCCGGGGAGCAGCGGAGACAACAGCAGAGGCGCAAGCGCCCGCGCAAGAGACGGCGCAAGAGACGGCGCGGTTCTTCCTTTACCGGCTGATCGGCAACAACATGGCGCCGCTGCAGTGCGCGGGGCAGCTGCTCCGCAACACGCTGTACGCGCTACAGCACGAGGCGCGCGCGCTGCGCGAGTGCCGGCGGCTGTGGGTACTGAACCACGTGGTGAACGGCACGGAGCGCGCGCTGCTGCTGGACGCGCTGCTCGCGCACGGCGTGGCGCCACAGGTGCGCGCATGTGGGCCGCAGGGGGGCGCACAGTGGGGCGCACAGAGGGGCGCACAGAGGGGCGCACAGGGGGGCGCACAGGTGCGCGCATGGGGAGCGCACAGGAGGGCGCACAGGGGGGCGCACAGTGGGGCGCACAGTGGGGCGCACAGGGGGGCGCACAGGGGGGCGCACAGGGGGGCGCACAGGGGGGCGCACAGGGGGGCGCACAGGGGGGCGCACAGGGGGGCGCACAGGGGGGCGCACAGGGGGGGGCACAGTGGGGCGCACAGGGGGCCGCACAGGGGGGGAACAGGGGAAAACAGTGTGATGCGAGAGAGGGGATGCCACCCGCTCTTGCTCCTAGCTTCCATGCCCCTTCCTGCCTCTTTCATTCCCCCTGTGCTTCTTCCTCGATTCTCCCTTCCTCTTTCCTCTCTCCTCTTTCCCCTTTCCCCCTTCCTCTTTGCCCGTTCCGCGTTCCCCCTTCCTTTCTCCCCCCCTTTCCTCTCTTTCCCCCCGCTCTCCTCACTCATCTCCCGCTACTCCTCTCCCGCCCGCCTCATCTCGCCGTGCAGGACATTCTTGTCCGTCGGATCAACTACTCGCACATCGCCACCCTTCCTGAGACCTCCTGGACCGAGGCTGTCACAGGTGAGGCGTTGACCGAGGCTGTCACAGGCGAGGCGTTGACCGAGGCTGTCACAGGCGAGGCGTTGACCGAGGCTGTCACAGGCGAGGCGTTGACCGAGGCTGTCACAGGCGAGGCGTTGACCGAGGCTGTCACAGGCGAGGCGTTGACCGAGGCTGTCACAGGCGAGGCGTTCACCGAGGCTGTCACAGGTGTTAACCCCTCATCATTGCATCCCGCCCTAACCTTGCATCACAGCCTGTCACGTGATCTTGTCCGTGCCTGCCTGTCTTTCTTCCCTGCTGTCATCTCTGCGAGCTCTGCATTGTGCTCTGCTTGCTGCACACATTGTGCGGTTGGTGTGTGTGCATGCCATGGCTCATGCGTGCATGCCATGTGGACATTGCTTGTGGGGCTGCATGTGGGAATGTGGGGCATGTGATGCATGCGGGCATGTGTGGCATGTGTGGCGCATGGCATGGCATGGCATGGGATGGCGGCAGAGCAGCGCAGAACGAGGCGCGCAACTTCATATTGGACCATGGCAGGGCAGCAGGGGCGCGGTGGGTGCTGGCGTTCGATGGCAACCAGTTCATCACCACACACGCCTGGGACCTCATTCGCCGTGCGACTCTCAGGCATGAGAGGGCCGGGCTGAAGCTCTTCAAGGTGCGGCTCAGAGTGGTGGGGTGTGCTGTGAGACGGTGTGCTGTGAGACGGTGTGCTGTGAGACGGTGTGCTGTGAGACGGTGTGCTGTGAGACGGTGTGCTGTGAGACGGTGTGCGCATGGCAGTTTGGTGTGTAACATGTGCTCACGGCTGCCCTATGCAGCACCTCATTCACATTCCGTCCTTGTGCTGCTCCCCGCTCACCTGCGCCCCTGCCCCCTTGCCCCTGCCCCCTTGCCCCCTTGCCCCTGCCCCCTTGCCCCTGCGCCCCTGCCCCCTTGCCCCTGCCCCCTTGCCCCCTTGCCCCTGCCCCCTTGCCCCTGCGCCCCTGCCCCCTTGCCCCCCTGCCCCTGCCCCCTGCCCCCTGCGCCCCTGCGCCCCTGCCCCCTTGCCCCTGCCCCCTGCCCCCTGCCCCCTGCCCCCGGCCCCTCCCCCCCAGGTGCCCATGTACCGCGTGCACGAGGAGCAGTCGCCGCGCTGGCTGGCGGCGCGCACGCGCTTCCACGTGCTGCAGCGCTTCGCCCCGCAGATGTGGGAGAGCCAAGTCGCCTTCCGCAACGACTCGCCGCACCGCTACACCCAGGGTGAGCACCCACCGCTCATGCCCCGTGCCCCATTCCCCATGCCCCGTGCCCCATGCCCTATGCCCATGAACCATGCCTGGGGCCCTGTGCCCTGCCCCTGCGCCCATGCCGTGCGCGCGTGCATGGCAGGCATGGTGTACGGGCGAGACAACAAGCTGGAGCTCATCGACCGCGTGTGCGTGCTTCACCTCCCGTGTGCCTCATGCCCATGCCTGACGCGCATGCCTCATGCCCATGCCTATGATGACCCATGTGCCTCATGCGCATGCCCGGCAGGCATGGCGTACGGGCGAGACAACAAGCTGGAGCTGATCGACCGCGTGTGCGGCACGGGGCGCTTTGAGGAGGAGCATGCGCTGCGCCGCCGCCAGCAGATGGAGCAGCGGCGGCGGCAGAAGCAGGAGGAGCAGAAGAGGCGGAGGGAGGAGCAGAAGAGGCGGAAAGGGGAGCATGATGAGGAGACAGAAGGGCAGCAGCAAGGGCAGGCGCAACGAGGCCGGCGCTTGGTGCATGTGGAGTGCGGTGCAGGCAGCAGCTTCAATAACTCGACCGCGCAGGACTGTGTGGGGGGGGAGGGTGTAGGAGGTGAGGCTGTGGCACAAGAGGAGGAGCACGGTGCTGTGCTGCCTGTGCTGGGAAATGCAGTGCAGCAGCGGCGGCGGCTGCATGAGGCGTTGCAGGTGGACACGGGGCAGTGCGGGTGCCACAGGGAGGTGGGGCGCGACCACCGCATTAAAGAAGCAGATCCCGCCGTGGCACACGCGTGTGGGTACACGGTGCGCCTTTGGTACTTCCCTTGCCCCGGCGTGGACGGCAAGCGCATCTTCGTGGATAAGAAGTACCGGGCGGCGCTGCGGGAGGAGGGGCACCGCCGCCTGGCACAGCAGATCAGACAGGCTGTGTGGCAGGCCATGGGCCGTGGAGGAGAGGCGTCCGTGCAGGATGGCTAGGTTCAGAGCATGTGGTGGCTATGTATTAGATGTATGCTGCCATAGTGTCTAACGTTCACCTATGCTGCTAAAAAATTCCGCTGAATGCGATCATGCGAGAAAGGTTCACTAAGCTGATGAGCTGACAACAGGAACTGATTAACATGCTTATAGTGGAAGATCGCCCGACAGGCATGCTACACTACACTGGTGCAGTTGGCTTGGTTGAGCAACAGAAAGTGCAATTGCACTTGTCAAGTCAAGGCGCCGACTCCGTGCAGTGAATGAGCTGCATGCCTCGCCCACACACCGCTGCCAGGTACCTGAAGCACACATGCATTGGATTCAAACACAAGGGCACGATGCGTAGTACTAAACTTGCAATACCTTGATGTGTTATGCATGTGTGCAACAAGACGTGCTTACGTGGTGAGTGACTCCCCTCCATAAGCCCCATGAGCCACTCACCTGCCCTCGCCTTGACCCATCACCGCCAGCCCCTCTGCCTCGGGCACATCCACCACACACCGCCCCTTGCCCTCCAACCGCATCCCACCCTCCCTCATCCCATCTACAGGCGCCCCTGCCTCCTCAGCCCCACACGCCACCTCCCCCGCATCCAACCTGCTCCCCTCCCCAGCCTCCCCTCCCTCCTCTCCTGCACACCCCCTCTCGCCCCTCCGCTCCTCCTCGCTGCATCTCCCTTCTGCAGCTGCCTCGGCACCGCCTGCCTCGCCACGTGGCGCGTGGTGATTGGAGGGGAGGGACCAGCAGCGCAGGCGCTGGTCCAGCCCCACAGACAGCACCGCCTGCCCATCCGTCCAGATGCCTGCCGTGAGGTGTAGGGCATGGGGTGGCATGGGATGGGGTGGCATGGCATGTCATGGGATGTTGTCGCATAAAATGGTGTAGCATGGCATGGCATGACGTGGGGCAGGGGCAAGGAAAAGAGGTTGAAACGGTTGTGATGACGAAACTGCTGGTTGGCAATGAGGATGCCAAAAGGCTGGCTGACAGCAACAAGGTGAAGGGCATGAGTAGGGTTACCTTTGACAGCAGCAGAGTGAGCATTGGGTTCACATGTCTGTGCCACCACTCGAGCCACCATTCCCCTCCCCTCCCTTCCCCCCTCCTCTGCGCCCAGCCCCTCGGAACGTGCTGTGTGCACGCTGTGCTCGGCGCCCATGCCGTCCAGGTGCAGCACCACAGCATGCACCGCCTCGTCATCCCCACCACTCACCACCACAACTTGTGCCGCCCCCACGCCCCTCACCCCGCCGTCTTCCACCCCATCGACCCCATCCCCCCCATTCCCCCCATTCCCCCCATCCCCCCCATCCGCTCGCGTTTCTTGCCCCTGCCAGTGGCCCCTCCCTGCTGTGGCGGTGGCAGCAGCGGCAATGCAGTTGACGCCAGACTGGTGGGCGCCCCTCACCACGCACAGCGGACCCACCTCCACACCCGCCCACCCCTGCGCCTCTGCACTTCCTCGCTGCCCCTCCTCACCTCCCTTGCCTTCTGAACCTTCCTCCCGCCCGCCTCTCTCCTTCCCCTCGCCTCTCTCCTCCCCCTCCCCTGCTCCTCCCTGATCCCCCCGGCCCCCCACTGTCCCAACAGCCTTCTGTTGAGAATCAACATTGCTCCGTCCCTCACCTTCTCGCTCTGCCTCCTCCCCTCCCGCCTTTTGCACACCCATCTGCCGCTCCTCCTCCAGCCATTTTTGCTCCCCAACCTCGCTGCCACCAGACCTCTCTCCCCCCTGCCCTTGCTTCTGCCCTCCGCCCTGCCTGTGCCCCTTCCCCCTGCCCTGCAAGTGCCAGCGTGCATTCCTCCTGCGCTGCCCCCCCTCACTGCCCCGCCCACTCACCGGCCGCACTGCCCCTGAGCTGCCCCCCCCTGCTGCCACAGATGACGCTGATGCTGGTGCTATTGATAATGATGAGGGAAAGAGTGGGGGGGGATGCGAGGCAGCATGCCACGTGGCGTGCAGGAAGTGGGTGACAGGGGCGGTGACATCCCAGAGCACAACAGCGCCGTCCGTGGCTCCGCTGGTGATCAGGCAGCGCGGTAGAGCACGCAGCGAGGGGGCAGCGGTGGGGGCAGTGGTGGGGGCAGCACGCGAGGGGGAGGTGGTAGTGTGGGCATGGGGGGAGGGGAGGAGGAGGTGGTGGAGGGAGAGGACGGGGCAGGAGTGGTGGTGGAGGGAGGCGAGGCGGTGCCAGGAGAGGGAGGGCGCGTGGAAGGCCAGCAGGTGCAGCTGCGCGTCTGATGTGGCCGCTGCTACCACCGCCACCAGCGAGCTGGGATGGGCGGGTGGAGGAAAGGGATGGGGCCAAGGAAGAGGGGAGAGAGGTTAGGGAGGGTGGGGGGTGGAGGGGTTGAGAGAGGGAGGGTGACTGGCATTAAGGCCCAGCAGTGGTGGCACGGGGAAGAGGAGTGGCAAGCAAAGCAGCATGGGGTGAGAACCTGTGAGTGCGCATGCACAGGCTTGAGTTGTGAGAGGACCCACCGTTGGGAGAAGCTGCCCAAGGAGAATGCCGTGGCGCTCAGGTACCGCACATCATCCTCCACACCACCGCCACCGCTGCTGCTGGAACCACACTGCACCACTTTCCTTTTACTGGGCCTGTGCGTACTCAACCAAAATGACAAAACTTGTTGCTCATCCATTCCTCCATCCCCCCCTCTTGTCTCTGCTGCTCCACCCACTCCTTGCATCCCTTTCAAAAACACAATTTCCCATCCCTCCCCTCTGCTTCCTACCTCCTCCCTCCCGACCCGCTGCTGCTCCCCCTCCGTCTGCACCTCCCCCTGCCCTCCCTGCTGCCCAGCGCATGTGGAAGGGCGGGCGGGGCCATGGCACGGGGCAGCAGGCAGGGGGGGCGGGTCTGGGCAGAGCAGCAACCAGCACATGAGCACCTCACGGGCACCAGCTGTGAACACCAGCCATGACGAGGGGGCACCATCCCCACCAGCACCCCCATAACAGGTGCTGCTGCCCTCAGCAGCGCACGTGGTAATGGCTCTGATGGCGCTGCCCCCCACATGCTCGCCCACCCGCTCACTGCCTTCCAGCACCCCCCCGCTCCCCTCCCCTGAGGCGTCATACCTGCATGGGTGGCACGGGGAGATGCGCGAGGGGGCGGTGAGGCTAGAGAGGTGGAGTGTGATAGTGATGGAGGGTCGAGGGCAGTGGCACATGTGGGACTCGTGGAATGGGCAAACGACAGATGCGAGGACGTGGGAGGAGCAGTGGGTGTAGGGAGACGATGGGGGGAATCAAAGAGCGGAAGCACACGAGGCATGCAGACGAAGAAACGGAGCTTGCAATTCTGAAGACAGGTGCCGCGAGATTACGAGGCGCCTCAAATACAGATGACTCACAGGGAGGCACGCAGGCAGCCATCCTCAGCCGCGGAGAGCAGCAGCGAGGCGCAGGGCGGGGAGGGGCAGGAGGAGGAGGGGGTGCGGGTGCGGGGCGAGGGGCGATGGGGCAGAGGCAGGAGGGCAAGAGAGTGCATCTCACGGCCGTGGAAGGTGGGATGCAGAGAGGATGGGGGCGTGGGTGGAGGTGTGTGTGGGGAGGGCAGGGCGGCGTGTGCGGCGGCAGCTGCAGTGGTGCGGTGGACGTGCACATGGTTGCCCTGGTGGGTGTGGGGCATGGGGGGATGGGAGAATGGAGATGGGGGCATGGGCGGATGGGGCATGGGCATGGGGCATGGGCATGGGGCATGCGGGGATTCAGAGCAATGAAGGCTAAGGGGCAGGATGCGGTGGCTTAGTAAATTAGCTGTTTGGGAATCACTTTTTTTTTTTTTTTTTTTTTAAGTAATTCTGAATAAGGGGTGAGAGGCACGATGCGGTGGCAGCGTTTCTGTGTGCTGCATTGTGATGCCCTGCCATGAGGCACAACGCATGGAATGCTACACGCCAAGTCTATGTGCATGGCACGGCACGGCACGGGACGGCATGGCATGGCATGGCGTGGCGTGGCGTGGCGTGGCGTGGCATGGCAGCACCTTGAGGAAGGCAAAGGCGAAGGACCCCATGGAGTTGGTGTCGATGAGGAACGAGTGCGGGCGGCGCCATCCCCCACATGCTATGCGCGCCACCTGACAGCAAGGTGGGGGGGTGTAGAGGAGGAGATGGAAGATGTTGAATGGGGGGGGGAGGGGGAGAAGGGCTTGGGGCTGGGAGGATGGGGGGGATTGGCGGAGCTGGGCGTGGGGTGAGGGGAGCGTGGCGTGGCAGTGGTTACCACGCAAGCACGTGGCAGGGGTGCATGCACCCAAGTGACTGTGAGCGCAAGTGTCTAGCGCATGTCAGTGAATGCACGCACGCACAGCTGCTGCCATCCACCACTCACGGCTATCCCCCTCACTCACTCTACCCACGACCCCCACGCACCTCTGCCTGCTCGTCCACACTCCACACCACAAAGTCCGCTGCTGCAAACCCCACCGCCACCCTGCCTTCCCTGCGCCCTGCTCCCCCGCCCCTCACCCGCACCACGCGCTCCACCATGCCCACCTCCCCTGCTCGCTGCACCCCCACGCACACCACCCCGCCCTGCTGCCCCCCCCCTTGCTGCACGCCTGCGTGGCCCCCCTCAGTGCCAGGCGCACAGACCATGGCCGTGTCAGCCACAGCCCCCTCACTCCCTGGCAAGCACGCCCTGCCCGTGCCCGTGTGCCCCACGGCGCCCGCACCGGCAGCTGCTGTGCTGGCAGGGCCGGGAGGTGGTCCGGAGCTAGGGGCAAGCGGTGGGGGTGGCGGTGGGGCGCGCAGGGCAAAGGTGCAGATGCAACCGTCCCTGCCGGTCTGGTGGCCGCGGGGATAAGGGGAGTCGGGTGGATGGGGGGAGGAGAGTGGGAATGGTAGTGCATGAGGCGATGGGGGTGCTACAATGGCAGGGAAGCAGAGGGGGGGAAGTTGGCATGCAAATGAAATCAGAAATGGACCCACAGATGCTACTACCATAAGCAACAGGCAAGGATCACGTACACACCAAATGGTCAATGCATTGCACCGCACCGCACCGCACTGCACTGCAGTGCAGGCACGGCACACACCGTCCTGCAGCAGGCACAGCACACACCGTGTGGATGAGAGCAGTGAAGCCAAGCGACGCTGCAGCGGCGCCCATGCCTGCTGCGCCCTCTATTGCCACACTCGCCACTGCCGATATGCCGTGTGCCCCCTTGAGCACTGCTGCCACGTGGCAGTCCGCCACTGGGCGGCTGGCAGCAGGGGCGGCGAGGGAGAAGCGGTAGAGGTAGAGGTGGCCCCTCTGGTCGCCCAGTGCCAGCAGCTGCCGGCCGGGCGGCACATGGGACGTGATGAAGAGGGGGGGACGGGGGACCGAAAGGGGGTGGGAAAGGGTGAAGAAGGGGGAAATGGGGAGGGGCAGTGTGGGTGAGACAGAGTCAGAGGAAGTGAAAGCAAGAGATGGGGGGTTGTGTGACACATGGGAGGAAAGGAGGGCAGCGTGGCTCGTACCTTGCTGTGAGGGCATGCATCCACGCACACCACCCGCGCGCCCCTTGGTGATTGGATCCTTGCCACTGCTGTGGCCGGCAGCTGCCGCCCAGACAATTGAACAGTGTCAAGTGAGAGAGGGCAGGTGGAGGGGGCAGGTGGCGGTGCAGTGTCGTCCAAGTGCCACCAAACAACGCCGCCCGCTGGGTCCGTGGTGAAGACATGCCTGATGGATGGTGAGGAGGTGGGCACTGGGCAATGCGGTGAGGAGGAAGAACGGTGAGGAGGACGAATGGTGAGAGGGATGGTGAGGAGAACGCACCATGCACCATGTCTCCGATGTTCCCTCACACGCACCTGTCACTCAGGCTGCGGCACCAGAAGGTGCCAAGAAGCCTTCTTGCCTGGTGTGCTTGCCACTCACTCCACCAATGGACCTCTACCTCCCCCAACTCAGTTGCCCGCCCTCCCTCCCCTCCCACTCCCCCTTGCCCCCCTTCCTTAGCTGCACTTTCCGCCCCTTGTTTCCCCCCATCCCCCCCGTCCCCTCCACCCTCCCCACCCTGCGCCCTGTGTGCGTGCATGGGGTGGCGGGGCAGGGTGGAGAGAGAGAGCGAGAGAGCCACAGCCTGCCCCATGCCAAACCCACACACCACCCGCCACCGCCCCTCCCTCTCCCGCCCACGCCCTGATCCCCTTCTCCCCTGCCCCTCCCCCACCTCCCCGCCCTCCTCCCCTCCCTCCTTGACATCCCCCTCTTCCCCTTCCTCCTCTGCACTCCCTTCCTCCCTTTCCACGTGGAGGCACACGATTGGCCCGCGGGAAGCATGGGAAGCGGATGGCAGGGCGGCGGGCAGGAGGACAATGGGGGTGGGGCAGGGGGAGGCGGGGGAGGAAGGGGAGGCGGGGAGGCGGAGGAGGAGCAGGGCGCCCAGGTTGGTGGCGAGGAGCAGCAGGTGGGGCGAGGCCAGCGCCATGCCGCGGATGAACTCGCTCTTGCTGCTGGGGCGGGAGGGGGGGTTCGATGCGGTGGTGGGAAGGAGGGAGGAACCATGGGGGAATGCATTGGTTGGTGGGAGGATGGGGCATATTGACGGGCATGCTGACGGGCATGCTGACGGGCATGGCACGGGGATGTGAAGGTGCAACGGAGTTCCACGCGCATGTCAAATCCACCCACCCACCTATCCTTGCGACCAGTGTCCCCATCCACCCCTGCCTCCCCCTCTGTCACAGCGCCAGCGGCGGCAGCAGCACTGGTGACAGCGATGCTGTGGCCTGTGAGGGCGCCCGTGGGCGTGACGCGCAGCCGCAGCGCGTCCAGAGGGGGGTGCCATGACAGGGCAGGGCGCACGGTGGAGGGGAGGGCGCGTGGGGCGGGCAGGGGGGAGGGCAGGGGGGAGGGCAGGGCGGGGAGGGCGTGCAGGTTGATGGCGGCGTCCGCCCCCCCTGTGATGAGCGTGCGCGTGGGGGGGTGCACCACACACCGCCATATGCCCCGCCCCCTGCTCGCCCACACATGGGTGGTTGAAGGGGCAGAGTGGGGCACATGGGGCGAACGGGGTGAGGCAGCGGCAAAGACGAAGGAAATGAATTGATTGTGGTAGATTTGCAAGATAGGAGAGTACATTAGTGGGTGTTAACTCTTGAAACGGCTGAAATATTGGATGGCGCTCGCTCACTGATGTGCGGGGATGAGGGCGAGCAGGCGGCCATCTTGGATGCACCACACGCGCGCCGTGCAGTCCTCACTCACCGTCACTGCCACCTGCCACCGTGGAGCGGAAACAGGGGGTGTGGACGTGGGGGCGTGGAGGCAGGGGGAAGGGGGGCAAGGGGGTGAGGGGACGTGGGGGCATGGTGGAATAGTGGAATAATGGCGCCATGCCATGGCAGGGCACGTACAGAGCGTGCGAAGAGAAGCACTTGTGAAGCGACACTGTGGAGAGGTTAGAGGGTGACTCAAGTGGACAGGAGAAACTCAAGGCAGGGCGCAAGGGGGCAGGGCTGCACCTGAGAGTCGAGATGCGCATCCCAGAGGCGAGCCCCGTGGCCGAACAGCTCCCTGTGCGCTGCACCACACTCCACCGTGCGTGTCCCCTCCCCACCGCAGCACGACTGCTCCTCACAGCCCCCCGCCTGTGGTGTGTGTGGTGCCTTGGCCGGCATGGTCACACGCCACACGCGTGCACTGCATGGCCGCACGCACGCAATAAGAGGAGCAGCACTTAGAAAAACCACCAGGCTGATACCGCTTAGGCGCTTGCAAAAAAAAACAAGAACAAATGAAGAGCAAGGAGACAGAGTTGTGTGACCCCTGCTTGACCACACCCCTGCTTGACCACACCCCTGCTTGACCACACCCCTGCTTACCTGCGGTCGTCCGAAACTGAAATCAGGGTGAAGCTCTCGGCGCCTTCCTCGCTTGAATCCTGCCCACCCTTTTCTCCTCCTCCGTTCCTGCCCTTTCCCCCGCCCAATACCCCTCCCTCTCCCCCTCCCCAGATCCCCCGGTCACTCTCCTCCTTCCACACCACTCGGTATATCGACCCCTCGTGGCCTCCCAGCCTATGGGAGGGTGCCACGTGGCATGTCTCCTCAGTGCTACCGCCCAGAGTGGCGCAGCAAGCAGAGGCGTGGAGGGGCACAGTCCAGAGCAGCAGCTGCAGGCAGATGGGGTAAGTAATGAGGTGAGGGCAGACGGTAAGGGAGATGCAGGGGTGCGCACTGCGCAGGGCGCAGAGAGGAGAGCAGAGTGCAGGGAGGCTCAAGAAGTGACAGTGCGGTGCAGAGGTGTGCAACTGTGATAGCACCTGGTTGAAGATGGTGCCGGCCGCCACATGCAGGCATGAGGAGGGCGCATGCCAGTGCAGGCGCATGGCGTACAGCAGACTGCGGTCTGACGCACGTGCAGGGACACGCAGACACACACACACACACACGAGCGCGCGGAGGATGGGCATTAGCGTAGCGGAGAGGAGGGGGGGTTGGGGCACACACAGGGGCATGTAACCATGTGGACACAGACAGAGCAACAGAGCAAGAGAGAGCACAGCACTGTCAGTGTGCATGCAGATTCGATGAGCACACAGGTGCCGTTACATGTGGCATGGCGCATGCATGCATGCATGCATGCATGAATAATGAGAGATGGCTCCAGGGTGCAGTGCAACGTTGCTTCCCTTGCAAATGGTGGTGCATGGCAGCAGGGTGTAAGCGGGCACAGCACAGCATGGGGCCAGGGGGAGGGGAGCAGTGCGTGCCTGAGCAAGCCACAGAGCGCAGCAGCCTCAGAGAGAAGTCCGCGGTGCCATCCTGGCCGCACGTCCTGTCCGATCCAACGGCTGCTGTGGCCCACAGCTCGACGCTGTTGTCACTCAGCCCCACCGCCAGCACGCCCGCCTGGTGATGGGAAGGGGGAGGGGTGGCGGGGTGGGAGGTGCGGGAGGGGAAGGAGGGAGGGTGGTTGGGGGCGGGGGGAGGAGCAAGAGGAGGGGGACGAGAGAGGGGTGAGCTAGAGAGAGAAGGGAGGGAGGAGAAGGAGTGCAGGGGCTTGAACGAGGCAGAGGAATGAGGAACGATGGCAAGCAGCATGGGAGGTGGGAAGATGCAATGCCCCAGGAGGAGTCATATGGGTCCGGGTGGACTGTCACCTGTGTGGCATGGGCATGAGCAGGGCAGGGCAGCAGGGCGGCATCACACACCCAGTGGTCCCTGCACACCACACATGCACCCACCGCCATCCGCACTCCCCCACCCTGCCCCCCCTCGCCTCCCTGCTTCACCCCCCCACCCACCCCCTGCCCCACACCCCCCTGCTCCGCTGTCTCTCTCCGCTCCCCCACGCCCTGCTGCTGCTGCTGCACTGTCACTGTCGCCGCCACCTGTGCTGCTTGCTGCACCGTCAGCACCACCAGTTTCACCCGCCTCTCCCCATGCACCACCACCACCGTTGCTGCTGCTTCCCCCCTCCCCTCGCCCTCGCCCTCACCCTCACCCTCGCGGGTCCATACAGCGCCGCCCACTCCTCTGCTGCCACGTGGCACGATCCCGTGGATGCGCACGCCGTCAAACACATCAACGGCTGCCAGCAGCCGCCCCGACGGCAGGTGGTAGCAGCGCAGCGTGGGACCCATGGCTGGCGGGGGCGGGGGGGAACGGGAGTGGTGAAGGGGCAAGAGGGGGCAGAGAGGGAGCGGGAGGGTTTGAAGGAGGAAAATGGACGGGGGAGAGCAGCGAACTGGGAGCGTGCAGATGGAGGGCGATGGGATGAGGAGGCGCGGAGGGATGACAGGCGTGGCGGGTGAGGGGAGGGCATGCAGGGTAGATGAGCAGAGGGGGCGCGGGGGAGGCGGAGGCGGAGGGCGCGCGGGCGAGGGAGGGCGGAAGGAGAGGCGGGAATGGGCAAGCGGCGGGCGCAGTGGCGAACAGGGGAAGTGGTTGGCGGGTGCGCGGAGACGAGTGTTTGCGCGTGTTTGAGGCTTGTGAGCGCGTGCAGCTAGGTGCACCTGCGAGCACAAGAGCGGACGCATGGTGGTCGAACGCATGGACGTCCGCGCATTTATCGGCGCCCGCGCATTTATGGGCGCCCGCGCGTTTATGGGCGTCCGCGCATTGCTCGCTGTGCCGGTCAGCCCGCTCCTCGTGCGCCGCTGCTTGGCCCGCCTCCTCCTTCTCCTCTCCCCCGCGCTGTGCACACGACTCTTCGTGAGAGGCAGCGGCGCCAGGCTGTGTGCGGCGCGATTTATAGCGGAGGGAGGTAAGGGAGGGCCAAGGCAAAAGGGCGAGTGCGGAGACATCCCCCACATAGGCAGCCTTGGTAAAAGTTGTTTGGACAGAGGCAGATGGAGCCATCGTGGTGGTCCCTAGATCAGCAGGGCTTTGGGTTGGAACGAGTTTTGATGGGGACATTGTCTTGCTAGAAGGTGATCTGGTTTAGTATCAAAGTTTGACAATGGCCAATGTGATGTAACTGAAGTATAACCCAGCTTCACAGTCAGGCCACCTGTGTTGTAAACGACCATATGACTAACCAGCATATTGAATGTTCGAGGTGGCCAATGACGTCTCTAACGAAATATCAAATACATATGATTTACATGCTGTATTTGCGTCGTTGAGATGTGATTTTTCTTCATATACTCCCAAAACCAATCTGGGGGCATGATTGTACATAAAAGAGTTTTTGTAAGGAAATTCCCTTTTCCTTACTTCGCGTCCCTGCTCAACGCGTACATCACTGTAGCACCTCAGTCAGCACCGTTACCACTCACGACCATCGCATCGTTCATCATCCCGCCCTTTTCGCACATCGCATCCCGACCTCACGGCTTGGCTGGTAACCCGCGCTCCGGGCCTACGCTTCGACACTTTCCCAACCTCAGTCCCAGGCTCGTCGCGCGACCATTACCGTTACCACTATAGTTTCGCTATATAATGTTCGCTCATGCCTTCGCTCAATTGTATTCTTGCTTCGATAGTGCAATTCTCGTTCGTTCACTCAATTGCACTCGTAACACTTGGTATTCAGAGCCTACGATCTCATCTCGGACCGCATCCACACCTTCGCTTCCCACTATCTCAATTTTTGGGGGGGGTAGACGTCTCTCAGCGACACAGCACCGCCGCTCGTAGTGCTCTCTCGAAAGTACGCACGGCCACGACCGAGGCTCTCGCTGAGCTTGCCCGACACCCCCGCCATGGCCGATTTCAATCTCGCCACGTTGACGCAGGAGCAACTCGATCGTCTCGTGCGTCAATTGGAGGATTCGGCGCTCGAAATCGCGACTCTCACGGCGGAACGTGACTCCGCCCGTCAACAGTCAACGGTGAACGTACCGACGACATCACACGCACAAACCAATGCATCTGCACATTTAGAGGAGCCCATCGTCATCTCATCCGGCACACCAACGCAACACAACAGCACGGGACAACGCTCAGGCGCAGCCAGTGACGGCGCAGCCCAACCGATGCCCGGCATGGGAGGGAACAGGAGCGCACTAAGCCCACGGGAGCCCCGAGAAGCCCGTCGGCACGTGGAGTTTGCGGCGACAAGTGGCGAGAACGCCATGATGGCCCCAATGCCACTCAAGCCGCAACGCCCGCCCTGCTTCGACCCAAGCCAACGCGGCGGCCCGACAGTTCAATCGTGGGTCTTCACGATGAATGTGTTTTTCGACGCCAACTACGTCGAGTCGGACGCCGCCAAGATCCGGTATGCGGTTTCACTACTCAGGGGCCCCGCCATGGACTGGTGGCGAGTCATTGTGACGTCGCCGCGCGCCTACGAGCCACCGTCGCACGAGGAAGGGCCCTCGGGTCCAGCTGTTACCTGGAGTTCGTTCTGCGAAACCGCCCAATACAGCACGTGGGATGCGTGGTGCGCAGGACTTCGGGCGCGCTTTGAGCCGATCGCGGCCTCGATTTCGGCGCGTCAGAAACTGCGCACTTGGCGCCAGCTCGGGTCAGTTCAAGACTACACCAGCGGGTTTCTCGCACTTTGCGAACAGGTCGGCTACATGCACGAGGCAGAGCGGGTGGACCGTTACGTCGGAGGGCTGAAGCCGGACATCTCGCACGAGATAATGCTACGCGGGCTCTCGAATTTCAACGAGATCCTCGCGCTCGCCGAGAAAATCGATATCCTACGCCGACCGAGACCGGGGTCCTATTACGGACATCGTCCTCGGGGACCGACCGAGCACGCCACTATACATGCCGTCGCAGCGAATGCAGCTGCCGCGCCGTTTAGAGGGCGCTGCTTTGCTTGCAACCGGCCGGGCCATCGCAAGAGCGAATGTCCAGAGGAGCTGAGGCGTCGAGGAGCAAAGCAGGGGAGGGAGTCTCGGAGGCAGGGAAACGCCAGCAATCAGTAGAAGTTGGGCCAACTACTGACGAGACTGCCTGCTCGCCCAACCACACCGACCCTCACCGAGTCACAGTACCGATTCACGCCATCGATCGGGCTCGGATGAATAAGGAGGGTACAGCGACGGATTGCCCGGTACTGATCTACAGGAAAATACAGGGAGCAGCAGTGAAGATCTTCATTGACGGAGGAGCAAGCCACAGCTTAGTTAATACCGCAACCGCACGAAAATTACAGTTAACGCTTAACCGATGTTTACCTGAGATAGATGCACGCTTAGTTGACGGCACGCCCCTGGCCATACGGGAAAAGGTGGAGCGCGTAAAAGTCCGCTGCGGGGGGAACTTCAGGTTTACACAGGAAATGCTCGCGACGACACTGGATGGGCACGACATTTTATTGGGACGTGATTGGCTGCGACGGTACAACCCACGGATCGACTGGATGACGGGGAGCTGCACAGTGCGAAGTAGTGGTAACTGGGTCGTTCTACCTCGCTGGGAGCCACCCAAATCTTCGACGGTCCAGGTCAACGCCATCACGATGAAACGGGCTGTCGCTGCTGGAGCTGACGTGTACGCAGTCGATATCGCACTCGTAGAAAAAGATGAGCAGCCTGTTGAGATAGAGGCGAGGAATGAGTGCACTATGAAATGAAACAAGTACAAGTACCAACCCTAATTGGGTTGTACCCCATATGGGCTACCCCACTACAGCCTACAATACATGCATCAGCTAAATATAATCTGACACACCCCCATAGGCAAAGTGGGGGAGAGCAAGGGGTCACAAGACCAGTCAAGCAAGACAAGCAAAGAGAAGCAAAGCAAGCTCAGGGTGGATATCAAGGATACCACACAAATTCCGAGCACAAGGTCAAGGCCACAAGGCCAGTTCACATGCAGCAGAGCATATATATATAACAGTGCTAAACAAGCAAGAGCAAGGAAATATATATGCAGCAGTACAAGCAAGGTCAAGAGGTTAGCAAGTGAGGCCCAGTGGGCACAAGGCCTAGCAGAGTGCAAAAGCGCTGATGGTCACGAGGCGGAAGTGCCTTGGTGAACACATCAGCAGTGTTGGCCTCAGTGGCCACGAAACGCAGGCGAAGCTGACCACGCTGCTGCAGCTCTCGAGCAAGGAAGTAGCGCAGAGCAATGTGCTTCGTCCTGTGCTCCAGTCTGTGCTCCTGACACAAGGCAATGGTTGCCTTGTTGTCGACGTACAGCACTGGAGGAGAACGAGGCCGCTCTCCAAGGTCAGTCAGCAGGTAGGTGAGCCAGCGAAGCTCCTGGGCAGCCATGGCCGTGGCGTAGATCTCAGCCTCACAACTGGAGCTGAGAACCAAAGAAGAGCGAGTAGAGCGCCAAGAGACAGAGCCAGAGCCAAGACAGAAGGTGTAACCCTGAGACGACCTCTGAGTAGCCTGGTCGTCAGCCCAAGAAGCGTCTGAGTGCCCAGTGAGCACAGGCCGCTCACGCCCTCCAAGCACTAGCCCCATGCCCGACGTACTGCACAAGTAGCGCAACACCCTCTTAGCTGCATCCATGTGCTCCTTCCGGTGACGGCTGGGAGCAACATAGCGTGCTAAGATGCTGAGAGGGTATGCGAGGTCAGGTCGAGTGCAGGTCATCAGGTACATGAGGCAGCCCACAAGCTCTGGATACGGACCACTCGACTCTACGGACTCATCCGAAGGCAGAGCTGAGAGCTAGTGTCCCGTAGGCAGAGGAGTGGACTGAGGCGAGGAGTACGTGAAGCCGAAGCGCTGAAGGACCTGCTGCACCATGTGTGACTGAGTCAGGGTAATGGTGCGGCGTGCTCTGTCCCGGGTGATCCGCAAGCCAAGATAGCTTGTCAGTTCACCCAGGTCTGTGCACGTGTGTCTCTTCTGCAGCTCGGACTTCACGAGGGCAAGTGCGGCAGTGTCCGTAGTGGCAAAGACCAAGTCGTTGACGTACACGAGGATGTAGAACGGCGGCAACGAGGTGTCGGTGCGCAGAAACAGCGACGGGTCAGCAGTAGAAGGAGCAAACCCAAGAGCCGCAAGTGTAGTCCTTAGTGTGTCGTGCCACTCACGCGGCGCCTGGCGGAGACCGTAGACTGGCCGCCGGAGGCTCCACTGGGTACCAGGGGGGAACGACCCAGTGAAGCCAGGAGGGCGGCGCAGCCAGATCTCCTCGTGCAGGCGGCCCTGCAGGAAAGCAGTGCTGAAGTCAAGAGAGTGTAGCTCGTAGTCACGCTGAGCAGCGACGTGCAGTAGAACCCGAAGAGTGGTCATCTTCGGGGTCGGGGAGAAGGTCTGAAAGAAGTCAACTCCCTGTCGCTGACTGAAGCCACGAGCCACGTAGCGCGCCTTGAAGACAGGCGGAGAACCCGGCGGCCGCTTCACCCTGAAAATCCACATGCCACTGACAATGTTCGCCCCAGGAGGGGGAACAGCGTCAACGTAGGTGCCTGTGGACTTCCAGGAAGCCATCTCTGCGTCCATGGCTGACTGCCACTGAGAGGAGTAGGGACCGGCCATCGCCTCTGCGTAAGAGCGTGGGGTCGGGATGTCTAGAGCATCCGGGTCTCCCTCAGGGGCAACAAGCATGGACACGAGATGAGGCAAAGCGGCGGCAAAGCACTGGAACTCCTCCTGCCTGTCCTCAAGGACGTCCGTGCCAAGAGCACAGTCACCCCCGACGGACGGAGGACAGGCAGACGCAGACGCAGCAGACGCAGACTCAGCAGACTCAGCAACAAGACTGGCAGCGTAGTCCAGACGACACGCAGCAGCAAAGTCGACCAGCTCAGCAACTAGGGCAGACGCAGCAGCGGACTCAAAGGAAGGGTCAGTGACAAGAGAAGCAAGAAGACGCGTGACAGTAGGACTGGCAGCACGGCGAGCGTCCGACTCCGGGTCGGCAAGTGTAGGAAGAGAAGACTGAGGAGGAGAAGGCAAAGGGGCACGCAGAGGAGCAGTGGACGGACGCAGAGACATCTGGTGTGTGCCAGGGACAGGAGGAGGACGCTGACGCGAACTGCGACCACTAGG